ATATATAAATAAATATATAAATATATAAATAAATATATAAATAAATATATAAATAAATATATAAATAAATATATAAATAAATATATAAATAAATATATAAATATATAAATATATAAATATATAAATATATAAATATATAAATATATAAATACACACACACACACACACACACAATATAATTTATTATAATTAAAAATAAGCTAAGGTTAGAAGGTGGAAGTTTAGGATTAATTGTACTATTAATATTAATAATGTGAAAATATATTGTGAACCTAGACTTTTACGGATTAGAAATTGTGGGGACTTTGAGATATAATCCCCAGATTGATTAAATTTTGTTAATATTTGGTCTTATTAGTAGTCCTAGATATTTGGGATATTGAAATTATGATGGAATAATGAGTAATTTTTAAAATATTAAATATTAGTGACTTAGTAGGGGATAACAAGTACATGGTCAAAGAAATATTACTTATATTTAAATAGATTAATGGAAAAAATGATAAAGAATTATAAAGAGAGAATGGTATTGTTGAAGTTGGAAGGTTAGGATTATGCATACTTATTTGTACATTATTATTGTTAACATTGTTTAAAAAGGACATTGACCCAGTCAATACACTGTCCACACAAATATATAGGTGTGTAAGGAAAACTGCAAATAAAACTTGAATTAAAAAAAGAAGAAGAGAATGATTCCAGCCAAATACTCACTCTGCAGGCCAAAACACTGAGAGTTCGTTCATGCACATTCATTATGGGATAGTTCTTGCCCTTATAGTGATTCACTTCCTGTAATTAAATTGTAGCAGTTGGCATTAGATACTCCATTCATCTCCCCAGTAGGTGAAAATGAGTAAGTAGTCTTCCAACCAAGCTGTACAGAACTGATACTCACTTGGTCAAAGTGCAGCCCAGCAATGATATAAGGATGCTTTGCTATTTGGTGCACTCTCTCCAGAAAATCCACATGACCCACATCTAATGTATATGTTAACAAAGTAAACCTCAGGCACTAAATGAAGCTAATGAGACATAGATATGTTCTTTCCTTTTCACAAGTCCTCTATTTCTTTTCTTAGTAGCGCACATAATTGTAGATTACAAGACTTACAATAACTAGATATGGCTCATGCTCAGAAAAAGTTCTGGAATTCATTGCAAGAACTATTGGCAAGTGCTTGTTGTACTGTAACCTTTAGTATCTGCATCCTGTTTTTTTTAAAAAAAATCTATGCTTATACTTAAAATTAATGGACTTTCGTCCAGCATTCTGTAAAGATTGAGGGGAAAATAGTGGCACAAAATAGTGGCTGAGTAAAGTAACTATTACAAAATAGTTACCGGTAATTCAGAGTGAGCACCAAATTTATTCTGGGTGTGTGTGTGTGTGTGTGGGCAAGGTAGATATGGCAAATTTTGCTTAAGAGGATATTATTTGGGATGAGTTTTCCCACTGGAGGGCATAATAGAGCTTGAAAAAAGCAGCATTCCATTTTTTTGAAGTACACTATAGTTAGTATATGTATCACTTTTTTCACATTATTTTCCTAGATTAAAATAAAATCCCTTATCATACAAGGTTTTTGCCGAGATAGTGAACATGTCAATGTTATAATTCTTTTGAAGTTTTGACAAATCACTAAGAATTCTCAGCTAAAAGTACACTTTACTGTTAGATAAAGCTACATTCGCCTAAGTTCCTAACTGAAAGAACTTGATTTAGCATTTCTAAATCAAAACAACCTGAAAAACTGGTTAAGATATGAAGTTTAGGCAGTTCCAAAAACAGGTATCAGGCCTTCCTAATTTGCTGTAAGAAACTCTTAATTCCATTCTTCCCCAAAGAAAACAAATTTAGGATACGAAAAAGATCAAAGGCGCCTGCCACATAGATTATGGTATCTCCAGGTTGAGGCTCCTTGCCAGATGCAAATTGGATGATCTTTTGAGATGTTTGCAGAAACTGAGAAACTCCAGTCCAGGGACTGTGACCTTTAGGGCACTGAAGAAAATAAAAAAAAAGAACATCTTCAATATTCTTGGAGCTATTGGAGTTAGTTCTCGTCGAATATAAGGAATGGGATTTGAATAAAATAGTAGGTTAAAAAAATACTTCTTATAAATCAACATATACATTAACCAATACTGATAAAGACCCAGTAATTGCTACAAAAAGTTAACAAACCAGTCTAAGTAGCTGTACACATTTAAAGATCATAATCACAAAGAATTGACACCAGTTAAAGATTAAGATAAAACTGAAGTCCTAACTTCTTTATCATCAAAATTAAATACAGTCAAAATGAGTTTTTCCTATATTTCTACTTTTATTTCAAATTCCATTGCCCATTTTTATCCTTTTCAATTGAAACAATGAATTCATATAATTTGAAATTCAAACTGAATTATGGTAGCACTTATCACTGTGGCAATATCATTTATTTTTGACACAAAGTTCAATATACATTGCTGCATTGATACTTTAACCCTATAGGAAGATGTAAAAGGTGGAAGCTAACAGTAGGCTGCTAACCTCTCTACTTTTATACCCATGATGGCGAACCTATGGCACGCGTGCCACAGGTGGCATGCGAGCCATATTTGCTGGCACGCCAGTTGTCAGCTCTGGCGCTCATACGTGCTCCGGCCAGCTGATTTTCAGTCTTCTGGAGGGTTGGGGAAGGCCGTTTTTGTCCTCCCCAGGCTTCAGGAAAGCCTCCGAAGGCTGGGGAAGATGAAAAACAGGTCCAATGGGTCAACTGGAAGTTCGGAAACAACCCGTTTCCAGCTTCCAGAGGGCCTTCGGATAGCCAGGGGAGGCGGTTTTCGCCCTTCCCAGGCTTCAGGAAAGCCTTCGGAGTCTGGGGGCTTCACACACACATGTGCAGATGGGCAGGGAGGATTGAATTGGTGTGGGCACATGTGCGTGCACGATGGCGCGCACAATTTTGGCATGCCATAAGAAAACAGTTCACCATCACTGTTCTATACCATGATTATCCTCTTGAAGCATGACAATGAAGTTATTCAGTAAAAGGAGTAGGAAGGCAGAGGATTCCATAGAATTAGAATTATGCTCATTGGTGGAAATATTGTGCAAAAGGACTGATCACAAACTCCAACTTTGTTTCAAATGAGAATGTCAACAATTTATTCTTATGTAGATTTGATTTTATTAACCATTAATACTGAATGGTATACTTCATTTAAATCCAAGAGAATCTCTTATGCTAAATAAAACACTTTATCTTGAAACCATTAAGAGAGAAATGTGAGAAATATTTGGAATCTGAACTCTATGAACTCTATGAAAAGGCAACTGGATTTCCTTTTTTCTTTGAAAGTGTTTTGCTTCTCATCCAAGAAACTTATTCTGAGTTTTCAAAGAAAGAAAAGAAGAAGAAAGAAAAAAAGTCCAGTTTTAAGCACAATGATACATATTTCCATATCTCCAGTGAGAAGGTAGATCCCCTGGAAGAAGGAAGTGCATTCCAGAGGAGTAAGAGGCAACTTAGTCTAGATATTATGTGTGAGAGAAAGAGAGGGAAGACAGCTTCTCCCTAATAGCTCACAGAGTATATTTAGATGCAGACAGTGGGTTGTTCAGTCTAGCAAGGTTTTGTCTATAAGAATGAAACAACAAAATAACTCAACTTGGAAGAATCTACACATGTTTTTGGTTTTGGGCCTAACACTGATTCTGCATTTTGTTTTGTTATTTTTATTTAATATTTATTATTTTATAGTCTACATTTTAGAAGATTTTACAAACCCATATATACCCTCTATCTTCTTTTGTTCTGCCTTATGTATTTAATATATGCATAGTAAGTGCTAGAAACTGTTGAAAGTGGAAAGGAAGATTAGCTCCACCAGGTGGCATTCTTTGGGACTGCTTCTATAACTCAGTAGAATGACTTCATTGACTGTATGCAGATTACAACTCTAATGCCAAAGAGAAACTTATTTGTTGTAAGACATATAAAGCTATGCGATTCCTCAAGGCATAATAGTAATGTCTTACATACTGTAACAGTTCTGCATCATAAAGCAGAAGCAAAATATAAAAAAGATTTTCTATGTACATCCGGATCAGAAGTGGGCTGTTCCTGGTTCGGCCCAGATCGGGCAAACTGGTAGTAATGGTAGCAGGAGGCTCTTCCCACCCGCCAGGAGACTTCTGCATATGTGCGCACTTGAACTGGTAGTAAAAAAATTGGCAACACACCACTGATCCGTATGTCTTATAGTACAGATATTCGTTGAGATCTTTGCAAAACTTGAAACTAGCTATAATGGCCTCCAAACAAACTCCCTGATTATAAAACTGAAATCCATGCTTACAGGTTTGTCCTTTTATAAGAGTCTCTAAATAAAAATGGAGAATAAAGTGATTTTTGTTTGATTCAGATATTCACATATTGGTATCATAAAAATATTTCCATAGATTAGCATCTGCAGAGGTGCAAAGGACAAAATTCTATTCTCATAGTGGGGGAGGAGTATCCAGGATGGGTTAACCCAGTAACATGCGATGAGCTTCATGGCCAGTGAGGCAAACGCAAAAGCGCCGCTGAAGCCCCGGCATAGCTTTAAGATTTGTGGACTTCAACTCCCAGAATTCCTCCTCCAGTCATGTTGTGATGATGTCATCTGCATGGATCTGCTCCACTTCGTTTTATTCACAGGGGGGGGAGGACTGCCGTTGAAGATGCCGACGAGCCCCCACCGCCACCAGAATAACTGCTGCTGCCTCCTCCTCCTCCTCCAACAGCACCACCACATTTGCTGCCCGGCGCTGCGGCCTTTTTTCCTGCTCCCGCTCCCTCCCGCGGACTCATGGCTCCTCAAAAGCACAGCGGAGGAGGAGGGGGCAGGAGTAACGCGGAGCCCAGCTCAGGTGCTCCGAGCGAAGGGGGAGATGCCGCTGTCACAGGCGGGGGCGCCGGTGGGACCTTTGCCGGCTTCACCTCAGCCACAGCATCGGGCAGCAAATGTGGTGGTGCTGTTGGAGGAGGAGGAGGAGGA